GTTTAACGTGCATCACTTTCATGAGGTATTACAAATATAAATAATGAGTTTTTGTACATGATGCAACATAGAAAATATTATGTACATAAAAATGTTCTTGTCAATCACGCAACTAGTATCACGGTCATGTTTGTCCAAACCGTATTGTCTATGGTCATATGTTGGATGTCTCGATCATGTTTGTTCACGACGTATTATTTATGGTTGCATGTCCGTTCCTAGGTTAGAACAAGTATTGCACAACCGTTGTCCGTTGCGGCAAGAATGTAATTGTGACAACTAGCTCGACAATGGCTCGCCATGAACGAGTCGGGCGGAGCCTACATATTCCCCAATAAACCAAACAATATTCTATTGAGTTAAGGGTAAAATTGTACATGAAGCCTAAAATAAAACAAATTTAAATTTTGAGTAAAATGGGACACGAAATAAAAATAAATGCATGCATTAAATAAGGGAGGTAGCCAATGAATGAAAAGGAAATTGGAGTAATATTAATTAATTTTCTTCTTTATTATTTGACTAAAAGTCTTAACAATAAATTAATTGGACATAAATGCCCTCCATTATTAAGTGTAGAATTCAATGGATATTAAATTTTTTTTTTAAAAAAAAACATATTTTAACTTTGTCATCTTTCTAATAATTACATAGTGTTTATCTAACTCAAGAATTCGAACCCGAAAGAATAATTCACAAATGTACAGAAATGATGTAAACATAATTCACAAATTTAGAATATTACAGGTTAATAGAATATTATGTCATGATTAAAAGTTATGGAACCTCATGCATATTTGTGTGTCATGTGTATCAGGATACTTCTTCGTTATGAAGAATACAAACGCGTGCATTACGACTGATGTTTTATGACATTTATTTTGTTTTGTTGTTCTTAATTTTGTCATAGGTTGTATTTTTCTCAATATTTTAGTGGATTTTAATTTTCTAATAGAAGTTTTGAAATATTTATTAAAAAAAAAAAAAAGAAAAAAAAACTTGTTTTCTTGAAACTTTTTTGTGTTATTATTTTTCAAACCATGCTTTAGGTTTGATGTTAAACCGATTCATTGGATTAGTGAACTAATTCTGAGTGAGTCGTCTTAGAATGTAAGAATTATCATCATAGATTTCATGTTTGATCTTAGAGTTATTTGGTATGATATTATCCACTTTGAGTACAAGTGCTCGTATCTTTGCTTTAGGCTTCCTAAAACGTCTCATACCAATAGAGAGAGTATTATTTGATTATAAACCTATGAACATTTCCTAAATTAGCCGATGTGGAACTTTCATCCAACATCTCCCCTCAAACAAAGTACGTCTCTCCTTAATTGAGACTTGACTCTATTTCTTTTGGAGTTTTCGTCATTTTTTACTATGGCTTCGAGGTGCCTCGACTCCTTTTTCTTTTGGAGTTCTTTGTTCGATATTTGAGAATTCTATTAACATTACTAAGTTTAGAGCATGACTCTGATACCATGTTACGAACATGACTCTCCACAAATAGTATGATATTGTCCACTTTGAAGCATTTTGAGGAAGCCCAAAACAAAACCACGAGAGCTTATGCTCAAAGTGTACAAATATCATATCATTATGGAGAGTCGTGTTCATCTACACATCCCAGTTTGAATAATGAGTTAAGATCTCTCACAACTCATCCCAGCTTGTAAGTTGAACGAACATCTCTACCATCATTCCAACTATAAAAAAATATATAATAATTTCATCTCAGTTGCCACGACACGTCAACCGTTTCTTCTCTTCCATTCTTCACGTTTTGCAGCCTAACTACAATAGGACCATTATGTATGAACTTTCATCACCTTCTAGACATTGACTATCCGTCTACCAACTTAAACATGTACATAATTAGTTGGTTGCATTATTTTGTTTATTAAAACGAAAACTCTTTTCTACCATCTTTGACTACAATAACGTCGATGAAGTGTCAACTTCAATTGATCTCGACCTAGTGCCCGCTCGGTAAATGTTACCGGAAATAACCAACATTATTCTTTTTTTTTTTTTTTTTTTTTTTTTTTTTTTTTTTTTTTTTTTTTTTTTTTTTTTTTTT